AAAAAAAAAAAAAAAAAAAAAAAAAAGAAGAGGAGAAAAAACAGGATAGTGTCTTAGTAAAATGCTACGCTGCATGTCGCATTTATCACTCAAACAATGGTCAAAAACCTGTGTATACAGCTTGTTTCTTTCCATACTCGCAGAGGTCAATGAAGCAAATAAAATTAGTCAATATCGTATGTGTATTGATCACTGTTGCTGCTCAGAAGTATGATATAACAAAAAAAAAAGAACTAAGATATTAAAACTTATATTGATACTGCTAAGTTTTTCTTCAGGGCTTCTAGTTGCAGTGTACTCAAAAATCGAAATGACCGGTTCACAACATTAAACAACAACTACTCGTAGCATAAGGGTTTTGAAGACAACAACAAACTATATCCGATTATTTGACTTATTGTACAAAAAACTGTCTCAAAAATAGTGGACAAAAAGTGGTAAGTTTTCATTGACTTCGATTAAAATAACAAAAGTGTTTTAGGCATAGAAGACTCTCACAAAAGGTTCAGGTAACTGGTAAATCATTGCAGCCGTTCAATGTGTTAGCGAGTGACACTATTTTCCTTTATTCTTTATTTCTTTGTTAAACGTATCAGCAGTTCACCAACTTCTAAACACTTAAGACATTTATTTACAATATTTCAACTTTTCTTGAACCTTGAAGGAGAAGTGGCTAAACTTTTAAACAAATTTCGTGTGCTGTTTTTATCACACCTCCAGAACCGTCGTTCTGTATTTTGGTGCTACATATCATTCTGAAAATTTCACACCTGCAATTCTATGAGTTTGATTTGCCAATAGATCAAATAAACTCCCACTCTAATTATTTATTGTACAAAGTCAGAGATTAAAGTGCAACAGTACTCTACCGCTTGCATTTTGAAGTGTGATAGGCTTTCAAGCGAAACATGCAACGAATATCAGGAAGCCGTTGACTGGTGGTATAAATATTAGTGCATACCAACATCAAAGATACTATAAATTTTAAGCTGCTAAGTTTAAAAAAAACCTAAAATACACCAACTGGCAAATTCCCAAAACAATGTTGCAGTTGTTTTTTATCTACTTACAGCCGAGGACAGGTTTGGTAGTCTGACTGTATTTCGTAACTGCAGCGATTTTTTTCTGTGTACGTTGATTATCGGTTTTATTTTTTTATCTGTACTCATGGTCCAATTTTTTTATTTTTTGATTGATTGGAGATGGCATTACTCTACTGATGTCCATGCTAAATCTTGCCGGAAATTTTAAATTTCAGTTTGGGAGACGTTATCAACTTCCTTATGACGTTTTATACGTATATATTGACGCAAATTGATTTCATAGAGGGAAATTTTTTTTTTTTTGTGGTCAATTTTTTATCCCGCCTCCATCCTCATTTTTCATTTTTCAGATTGTGGTCTCACAACTCAAAAAACTTGATCTCCAAAACCCCCTCAAGTCAGGATCAGTAGGGTGCTACTGGGTGGTGCTGTCGAACTTGGTTCAATGTCGAGCAGTGAAGGCGGAGATAATAGAGCGGTTGTGGGTGATGTCAGGATAAAGACCAAAACTGGTATAAAGATACAAATGTATAAAATTATAAAAGAATAGCTGACAAGTTCATCAAGAGTGTTAAGAATCAAATATGCGAGGGCTTGTTAATAAATTTCCACAGGCCAATTTCATCAATTTGAACACTTGCAAGAAATCTGACTGTTGGAACGAATAAATGAGTTTTAAATCTTCAAACGCTTAGAAAAGTTCCTGCCTTTCCTCAACGATTTCTTATAGCTGTTTTGAACTGTTCAAGGAGAGACATTCATCGCTGCTTCACAACGTCCAGACGGAACATGGAGGAAGGCAAGGCGTGTGAAAGCAGGTTACATACCGCAAGAAGAACAACCACGGTATGAAAGTAGAGGGATGCAACAAAGTAGGCAATCAAGGTATCCTGTTGGTTTCAATCCAGTTGAAACTTCGCGAAAGCCAGTGAAAGTAAGTCTAAATCTGCACGTTGGCTTCCTTATTTCGTCGTTTGTTGTGCGAATGGCATATTGACTTTATGGTGATATAAGAATCCATCTTCATCGTAAATGTTGATGCGAAAGTTTTTTATGGTGAACCACTATTAAGGCAGAAGTATCAAGCGGACCAAAAAAACCGATTGTAGCCATTGAACGACCAAACGCACCAATAACTCCAAAGGACCATATTGAGAAAAAAATCAATAATTTGAATAGGAAGCTTCATGACATTGAAATATTGAAGGTAAGTTTAATAAAAATTTATAAATCGCACAGAATTTCAAGGAATAAGAAATACTTTCATAATTATGTGGTGGAGATGTGCTATATTTGCAGCTGACTCTTCTTTTTTTGTTAATATTTTCCTTCTTGACTTGTTGATCAAAAATTTCAGGAGAAGATCTCAAATGGGAAGCTCCCGAATCCTGAGAAAACCCAGCTAGAGAAGATTTCTCGACAGCAGGCAATTGAGGAGGAAATAGCAAAATTGACGGAAGAGTTAGAGTTCTTGTGACTGCTTTTCTGAAATTATTTATAATTGCTCAGTTAACCTCTGCAACTTTTGAAAACATGAAAGCCATCCTTTCTTGACAACAAAACAAATATTAGACTTGAAGCGGCTTTACAAACAAGGATTATAGAATGTAAAAGTTCGAAGGGAACCTTCCTCTTGGCTTCTTCGAGGATCTTGATGTCTTCTAGCAGTAAACACTAGGAATGCTGGAAGCCAAATGTCGGTTTTTGATTTGTGGGTTTTTTGGAGTTGCTAAATACCTCTTGCTGTTCAGTTCAGTAAATGGACGCCTCACCGTTTTTAGCTTCAAAAGACATTAACAAAAGCGAAAATTTCTTTGTAACACAAGCTGTGGTCTAGGAACTGAAATGAGCAACTAGGTGAGGCGTAACTGTTCACTGTCATCTTAAAACTGGTGTAGCTCGCACTTTCTAACTCTGTTGTTTCTTATGTACGGCGCAGTAACCAAAATACGTTTAAATCCGTTTGATCTCTGGGCCATCTGTTTTAATAAAAATTTATGAACTTATCAATCACAAACACCTACATATCAGTCGATTACAGCAACTAACCTTCTGCAGCAATTCGGAGTGTTTCAGCAATTGTTCTCATGTCACTTTCTATTGTCCTCGTCCAGTTATCCACATCTCCGATTTCCTTCAAAAATTCTTCAAATTACTGTATTAACAGTACAAAAAAAGTCACGAACAGTTCATCTAAATAACTACGCGGGAGTGCTTTATTATATCCCAGTTCCGTCAGCACAATTTTTGATATATGCGAGGGATGCTTCTTTACACATTTAATGGTTTTCGCTAACTGCTTACCTTGAGAGCATTATTTAATGAGTCTGTCAACTGCACCCACTGCTCAGTTTGTTTGGCTAGCACAGTGCAGTTGTTTTCCAACTTCTTTGCCTCGACATCTAAACGTTTCTGGTTGTTATAGGCTTGCGACACTCTGAAATTGAATAATTTATTGGTGTCATTAAAACTAGGTTTCAGCAACGAATTGAACAGAGGGATCCTGTTTAGAAAGCCCAAGCAGAATACTTCCAGCTCAGAAAAACTACTAATAAGAAAGCTATTGCTTTTGCTAGAAGACTTCAAATAACTAACGCATAATTGAGATGGTCAACTACTGCTGAGGAGAAACTTTGAGCAGCAACAATTGCTTCGTTTTTTCTTTTCTCTGAAAAAATACAAACTTGATACTCATTCTAATCCATAATCCAACAGTAAAATTAAAAATTTGAAATTTAAAGCAGTCCATTTGACCCTTGTTTCTGTATGTTCATACCGATGAATTCACGACACAATCCATACGAAATCACCAAAAAATTAAACAAAGTATAACAGCACACATACACAAACCTTGAATCTCTTTTCGAACCTGTTGAGCCGAATTGTGTTCTTTAACCAACTTTGCTAACATAATGCTAAATAAGGACTCTTCTTCTTTTCTCTAGCTTCTTATACTGAACACATATCTCACTAGACTTATATGGTACAAACAATAATGGATATCTAAAATGAAAAATAGTTATTGATTTACTGACAGTAACCACTAAAAATAATTGGATGATTAACGGTCGATTCCAGCAGAAACTTAAATATTCTTTCATTATAAGCCGCGATAACAAGAGTCAGAGTCATCGATAGCGTAAAAAAAATAAACTGGTCATTGCCATAGCACACCAGTTCCTAATGCACTCATATTGATCC